GAAACAAATTCCTTGGGATGAAAAGCTATGTTCCAGCTTCCTCAAGCTCCAGGACATGCCTGAAAGGACACTGAGAGAGGGGAAAACTGTTCTTGAGCATCTCTAACCATCTACAGTGAATCATGCCAGTATTCGAACTCAGAGCAGAGTCCACAGCAGGCTGAGCAGGTTGTGTCTGAGCCACATGCTTATGGCAAAGACATTGGCAGAACCCTTTTCTTGCTGCCTTGCAATAAACTAATTTATGAGTATTCTATCTCTGGGTTTCTCCACCTTCTAGGTTCTCCCTCTGATTCTTAATAGAACAATAATGGAATAGAGACATTTCAAACAGCAAAACAGTTTGGCTCTTTAAATGTGACACGGTGCCTAACTTGCACTGAAATTTACTGATAAGCTTTGTGTTTCGGGAGCGTGTGCAGAAGTTCTGCATCATCTAGTCCTCACGCGGCTCTACCTGCCAGTCCTTTATATCAAAATGGCCATTCTAAGCAAACCGAGCTTTTCTAGTAAGGTACTGAAACTGGAGGCTTATGGGAAGTCCTGAATTTGAAGCCATCTGGGAAGAAAGGCAGAGACTTGGGGACACTTGGGCTCTGTGACTGGCATCTGAAGGGGGCAAACTTATGAAGACTTGATTCCTAACTCGTAGGATCACTGTGTTTCAGATGAGCTGTACTACAGTGTCCTCTCCGAGTGTAACTTCCAGCCAGCCAGCCAGAGTGCAGGCGCTGTAGAAGTCCAGAACTGTGCAGGAACCTGAGGGAAGACAGTTCTTCCATCCTGAGGGAGACCTGCCTTCAACGAGGGCCTGTGCATAATCAAGTTTGTTAAGTATCAAAACTGGATTAAACCGAAGAACCCAGTGGTGCAGGAACAGGGACTGAAAAAAGGGACTGAAGTAAATTTTCTTTGTGATTTTTATTTCAGAAATTGCTACCTTACTTCCCAGTTTCAATGATGTTGTATAAAATTTGTTTTCTCTAGCATGCTGAAAGTAGACTATAGACCAAACATGATTGCCATTCTTGCAAAACACAGGACCCAAAAGAACAGAGAACAAGGGGGAATGCCCTGCCCCAGAGGCAGGGTGGGATGGGGGGGATGGGGGGTGGGAGGGATGCTGGGACCCGAGGTGGTGGAAGATGGGCGCCGGTGGAGGGATGGGTACTTGATCATTGTATAACTGAAACCTAAGCACAAAAATTTATAAGTCTATAACTGTACCTCATGGTGTTTCACTAATAAAAAAATAAATAAATAAATTTGTTTTCTCTGCCTTCTCTAGAATGTTTCAGGATTTTCTTTTCATCCCCAGTAATGTCAAATTTTATTATGCTTCAGATAATATTATTTTTATTAGTGGCATCAAATAATGCTGAGACCATTTTATTTGAAAAACAAGGTTTTTCAATTCTAAAGAAACTGGTTTTATTTCCTCTATTTTTTATTTATTTCCTCTAATTTCTGCATTATCTCTGGTACTTTTTATTTGGATCTAATCCTCCTAGATTTTTAAAATCTTTATTTTCCAGTTTGTTTTCTTTTGGTTCAACTTTATCTGAACTTTATTTTCTAACTTCTCTAATGAGTTTTTTTTTAACTTCTACCATCATAACTTTAATTCCCAAGAATGTTGTTTCTCTCTGAATATTCCTTTTCATGCTTTAAAGATGCATCTTTGACTTATTATTAATACCACCCAGTTTTCAAAAACAAGAACAACTGTCACTGTCACTGTCCTCCCGTTGTTCATCGATTTGCTCGAGCGGGCCCAGTAACGTCTCCATTGGAGACTTTGTTGTTACTGTGTTTGGCATATTGAACACATCACGGGTAGCTTGCCAGGCTCTGCCATGCGGGCGAGATACTCTTGGTAGCTTGCCAGGCTCTCCGAGAGGGGCAAAGGAATCAAAGTCGGGTTGGCCATGTTGGCTGCGTGCAAGGCAAATGCCCTACAGCTGTGCTATAGCTCCAGCCCAACAACAACAACAACAACAACAACAACAACAACAACAACCTTTTTCTTTTTGAATGATATATATTTCCATTAGACACTTTCTTTTCTCTTTTAGAGGGTGTGTTAGAGGGTTTGGGCCACACCCGGTAATACTCAGGGCTTACTCCGGGCACTGTACTTGGGAATCACTCCTGGTGGGCTTGGGAGATCATACTGGATGCCGGGGAATCAAACCTGGGCACACAACATGCAAGGCAAGCGCTTTGCCAGCTATATTATCTCTCCAGCCCCAGATATTTCTTACTAGAAAAAAATTTAAAGATGTCTGGTGTTCTGGTGATTTATACTGTTTATTTATATCTAGGGCACAGCTGGTTCTGTGCTGGGGCCATGAGGCCTCGGGGTCACAGCTGGAGTATTTGGACCACTTGGCTTTGCTGAGGTCATGAGACCTTGGGGTCACAGCAGGCTCCTTGTGTGAAGTGCGTGCTCCGGCTCACTGCATCTTTCTTTTGGTAATATACCAAATAGTTTTTATTAATACTTGGTTATTATTTTAAAGAATTTGCATCACATAATATAAAACCTTAAAATTGATCTTTTCATTTACGTTTATAATATTTCATCCATTACAAGACAGTTAAGAGCTGCCAGAGGTGGGCCAGAGTGATAGTACAGTGGGTAGGGCATTTGCCTTGCACAAGGACAACATGGGTTCAACCCTCGACATCCCATATGGTCCTCAGGGCACCGCCAGGAATGATTCCTTAGCAGCACTAACCCCTAAGCATTGTCAGTTGTGATCCAAAAAACCAAAAACTAAAAAAATTTAAAAAGCTGGCAGAGGCAGATATGGGACATCCCTGTCTTCAGCAGAAGCTCAGCAGGGCAACTCTGTATCAGAAACCATGGGGAATGCTACAGGAGACTCTGAACAGCGGGCCCAAGTGTGACAAGTCCAGGAGCGGAAGACAGCACAGCAGGTTGATGTCTGGCCTGCACATGGCCCACCTAGGTTTGATTCAGCACCCCAGAGGGCCCCCCAGCTACTGGGGTGATCCCTAGGTGCAGAACCAGGAGTAAACCCTGCTAAACCCTCTGATATCACCAGTATTTTCAGATTTCTTTCCTTGTGTTCAAATTTTTCCTAGATAAGCTGCTTTCAGGAACTAGTCTACATTGTGAAACCTGGATGACAGGGTTTCAGTTTTCAACAAGCAAATTTTCACTTAATTCAGTTTTAAGCATGGTACCAACTCCACTTACAGTAGGGTTACCCAGACCTGAAGACCCTGTATTTCATCCCTTCTAGAATTGACTTCTTATCCTTTGCTGGCACAGGAAAGGAGCAGGCACTGATCTGCAGGGATGAGAGCTGTTGCAGAGCCACCTGCTTTGGAACGAATTTTCCAGCATGCTCTTGCTTCTGTGCTCTCTCCCTCCCTGCCACTCCTTCCCTGGAAAGACCCACTCTCTTCTGCCCCTGCTGTTTCCTCTACTGCAATGACCGGTGCTCACACACTTGGCAGTAGTTTGCAAAGGGTCATACTCCTGCCGAGGTGCTAGGACGTGTACCTGGTGCAATACAGGTATACCTGCTGGACTGGAGCATGCAGTGTAACTGTTATATGACAGCATAACAGTTCTAGAATCTCTCAGAACTTCGCAGTATAGGAAGAGTTTCTTACTGACTATAATTCTGACCTAGGGGCCAACCCTCTGTCTCAGTGGTCTTCAACCACCAGTTCCAGTCTGCAGGTGTAGAAAGACTGAAACTACTGGACACCATATAGGACAGAGCCTCTGGGAGCCACGCTGTGCGAGGTGGGTGCTGGTGTACAGGCATGCAAGTGGAGGAAGAAGCCTATCCTTTATGAGGAACACATCTCCTTATGGGCTTTTTAGCTCCCTAAGTTTTACTATTTTCACATTACCTGGTCTTGGTACCATTTCATTTTGCCTTTTACTGTTATTTTAATAGAAAATTTACTGCAGCAAACACAGATAAATTTGTTCTTACTATGGATTCTTACTATGGGCCACAAGAGGTAATAGCTAATTTATTGGTGGATAACAGGTAAAACTGGTTATCTGATTATATCTAATTTAATACCTAAAGTAAGATACGAGCAAATCTGTATTTATGATATTGATATATTTTAATTGCCCCAAAATTGTGTTAAACCAAAATTCTAGATTTCTGAGCATTTAATTTCATTTAAAAAAAACAAAGGTCTCAACTGTCTAGAAGGAATTTTTTTCAAGATGTCATATTCTTTATGCACATTTCTTTTCTTTTTTCTTTTTTTATTAGTGAAACACCATGAGGTACAGTTGTAGATTTACAATTTTTTGTGCTTGGGTTTCGATTATACAATGATCAGATACCCATCCCTCCACCAGTGCCCATTTTCTACCACCATGGATAATATCCCCCCCACCCCTGTCCCCCCATCCCCCCCTGCCTCTGTGGCAGGGCAATTCCCTGTGTTCTCTCTCTCCTTTTGCTTGCTGAGATTTGCAAAAGAGGCACTGAGTGGCAAACATGTTCAGTCCATAGTCTACTTTCGACATGCATCTCCCCTCCTGGGAGGATCCTCCAAACACCCTTTATTTGGTGCTCCCTTCTCTATCTGAACTGCCCTTTCCTCTAGGATACCCGGCTGGCCTCTAAGTTATGGAGTAATCCTCCTGGTGCTGATCTCAGCTATTCTTGGGTATTAATCTCATATTTTGTTTCTTTATATTCCCCAGATGAATGCAATCTTTCTATGTCTATCCCTCTGTTTCTGACTCATTTTGCTTAGCATGATACTTTCCATGTTGTACCACTTGTATGTAAATTTCATGACTTCATCTTTTCTAAGAGCTACATAGTACTCCATTGTGTAGATGTACCAAAGTTTCTTTAACCAGTCATCTGTTCTTGGGCATTCAGGTTTCTTCCAGTTTCTGGCTATTGTAAAGAGTATGCACATTTCTTGTCTTAGATCAGCTACCTAGATTTACATCTACACACTAAAAAAGACAATTTACTAACCTCTGTTTCTGATGCTTGGGCCTGTAAAAGCTGTCGTATACGAAGAATGTCCTTTTCAATTTGTTGGATTCTGGTTACTCTTTGCTAAAATAAAGCAAGTAAAAAAAGTGACCAGATTAGATTTTTATCAAAAACATTAAGTGTAAAATAATCATACTATTGAAATGGATGATGCCATTTGTCAGATCTGTGCACGTAGTTAGATTTGTGCATATATATATAGTATATATATCAAAAGATCTAGACCTCACATGCAACAATTCAAATAGCACAATGCACAAAACATGAAAATTGTTAAAGCTTATTTCTAACAACCGTTCAAAGCTACAGGGCTCGCTTGAGTGATAGAGTCCTGTCCCTTTGCCCGTTAGACCCTGGGTTAAAGCTTGGCCCTCTGAGCACTGCTGGGTACATATAGCCTGGTGGCTCCAGGCAAGGCTGAAGTGGCCTGGGGTGCTGCTGAGTGGCCTCCCCAAAATTCAACAAAGAGAAATTACACCTGAATTTAATCTTTTGTATGAATCCAAGTGTTAATATAATTCAAAGATTAGTGTAAAGCAAGGCAGAACTGCTTTACCCAGAGTGTTCACTAAATATCAGAGTTTAAATAGTATGATTAGGCTGGAGCAATAGCACAGCGCGTAAGGCGTTTGCCTTGCACATGGCTGACATGGCCGACCCAGGTTCGATTCCTCCGCCCCTCTCGGAGAGCCTGGCAAGCTACCGAGAGTATCTCATCTGAACAGCAAAGCCTGGCAAGCTACCCAAGATGTTTCAATATGCCAAAAATAGTAACAATAAGTCTCACAATTTGTTGTGAGAAATTACTGGTGCCCATTTGAGCAAATCAATGAACAACGGGAGGACAGTGCTACAGTGCTAAATAGTATGATTAACCTTCCACCAATCACTTCTATTACAGATCAGCAGCCCTTTTCAGATTTAGCTTTTACAAATACTGAAGCAAACATCATTTTTATTTAGGATCACTATTATGGTAGAGCTTCTGCTTTCTCACCATTATGCTGGACCACCAAGTGAAGGCAAAGCAGTTAACTATAGACCCAAAACCATGAAACTGAGGATATGTACAAAGTGTCCTTTAAAAAGCTAATTTTAGGTTTTATGATAGGAAGCAGGAGAGACCAAAAATCACTTAGATACTGAAAACCTTGTTTTTGAAACTAATTTAAAACTTAAACTTTAAACTTTAATAAAACTTAAAGTTAATTTAAAAATTAGATTAAAAACTGTGATGGATAATTAAAAAAATTAAAAAAATAAAAACTGTGACGGATGAAATACAGAAACCACTGCATAATTTTAGCTAACACTGAGGTATAAAAAGTTTACCATGAGAGAGTGTTTGTTCACAGGGAAAAAAGCATTTAGGCTATATGGAGTAATTTCCAAACTATTTTGAATATGTGTCACGTGTGTTAAAAATTTCTTAGCACATATACTTCAATAGAAAAACAAGAAAACTACCATGACAAAAAAGGTTTAAGAAATGGTGAGACTCAAAGACAGACATCACCCTTGCAAGACTTGGGTACTAGGTTGCTTTCTTACTGCCATAGCAAGCATTATCACTGCTACCTCTGTATGTGGCCTGGTGAGCAACATAGCAAAGCTCAAAGCTGCATTTCCTGGGGCAGAGAAACAGCCCAGCGCTGGAACACCTGCCTCATGTGTGCTAAGCAGCACGGCGGCTTGTGGCCAGCACTCTGAGCTACTTCTGGTGTGTGAGCCCCCATCAGTGTTCGTCCTGGCGACTGAGCACACTGACTGGAGAGCAACTGTTGGGGAGCACTGTTCCTAGAGCAGTGACAAGAATGACAGGGGCTGATAAGAGCAGAGAGCCCCTCCTTGGTGACCCCCATTGAAGCAGATACTCTCCTGGGACTCCACAGTGCAGGGAACTTAAGACAGTCATCTGTCATCTCTGTGTCCCATGTACTTAATGGAAACACGTGAGAGGCAAAGGGCCTGCCTGCACTTCTGGCAGATCCTACAAATGCGCAGACTTTGCAGAACCTACTCATGAGTAACCACTTCTACAGGCAAACGAAATACACGTCCTTGCTGTTGAGAAACAATCAACTACAAACACTTGAAGGTTTCTAACACTTGCTGTTGTTTGCTCATTCTCTCTAATTAACATTTCTGTAACAACAAAGTTCCACGGGAAAAATTATTACTTAGATGATCAAAGTAGGTAATCAGGTCTAGTATTTCTCTTGATGACCACTACACATCTGCATATATTGTCAATATGTCTGAAAGATCTGATATACTGCAGATACATCACTAAATTCTGAAGTCAAGTCTCTGTGTCACGGTTTAATGACAAAGGTTAATTCTTGGTAAGGCAGCCCTGTGCTTCTATTTCCCAACATGAAAATGGGAGAAGTTAGGATTCTTTCCCTGTTCTATCGGAATATTAAACATTTATGAAAATCTGTTTAATAACATGCTTAAAAGCTCAAAGATATGAAGTTGGTATGATTTTTGAAATTCAGTTTAGGAAATTTAAATAGTTCATTACAGATTTAGAATAACTCCCAGAAAACTAGGAATGAATGGTAGATTTCTTCATTTGATAAAGGATATCTATCAAAAAACTTTGTCTAAGTTTTCGCAAAGTAAAGCAGTTACAACTATTGGTGAAATTTTAGGGTTCCTTTACAGTCAAAGAACAGCCAAAAGATCACTGGTCTCATTAAAAAAACATGATTAGCACTCTTTATTTTTTGGGGGACCAGGCCCGGAGGTGCTTCTGGTTCTGCACTCAGGGATCACTCTGTTGGACTTGAGGGACCATAGGGAGTGCTGGGGATTGAACACAGGCCCCCTGTACCATCTCTGCCACCGAATGTTCTTGTTTGCTTTTGGGCCATTCCTGGCAGTCTCAGGACTACTCCTGGCTCTGTACTCAAAAATTATTCTTGGTGGTGCTCAGTGGACAATAGGTGATGCTGGATATTGAACCTGAGCCAGCCTTGCAAGATCAGTGCACTCCCCACTGACCTACCACTTTTGCCGCTCATCCCATCCATATTCTTTTTATGAATAATTTCTACCTTCATGGCACTGTAGTCTTTAAGTATAATTTTTGTGTTAGTAAGTTTATAGGTATCTGAATTATGTCCTGGTATGTCATATCCAGGAAAATGTTTTCTGTACACAGAAGATGAATGTGTACTTGGCTTTCTGAGGATGGAGGGCCACTTGTGTGTCAATTAATGCCAATTCTCCTAACTCCTCATGTACGGTTCTTGTCTCTTGACTGATATTGGTCTAATAGTGAAAGCGGAGTGTTGAAGTCTCTCACTAATATTGTGTTTCCTCTGTCAACATGTTTCTTTAGGTCTGTGAGAAGTTTTATAAACTTTGTTGATGTCATCTGAAGCATGAGTATTTCTTGACCTACTGTTCCCTTCAGTAATCAGTAACTGAACATCTCATTTTTAATTACTTTCTTTAGACTGAATGCTATTTGGTCTGATGGAAGCATGACTAGCCTAGCTTCTTTTTGTCTACCAAAGGCTTGTAATCCACCCTTGTGTTTCACCCTTTCCCTCTGAGTCTGGATCTTAAGAAGCAGATCGCTGGAATCTGTCTCCTGATCCAGCCAGTCATTATATGCTATGGACAGGAGGTAACTGATCTCAGGGGCTCTGTTACAATTCTTGTGCGTGGAGTTTACTGTTTTCGCAACTGGCTATTTGATTTTTATGAGTAATCTTTCAGTCATTCTTTCAGGATTGGTTGAGTTATAGCAAACGTCACCAGGTATTGTTTGTCTCAAACCAAAATAAAAGCTTTCCACTGACTCTGGGCTGTTTTTTCCATTCAGTACTTTGAATATGTCACTTCACTCTTTTCTTGCTTGTACAGTTTTAGACAGGAGATCTGCTGTGATCTTATGCTATTTCCCTTGTACTTAAGGGACTTAAAAAGTCTGTTTCTCTTTGGTTTGTGCCATTTTGATTACAATGTGTCTTGGTTTGAATCTGTTTTTTTCTTTCTGATATTCTCTGGGCCTTTGAATCTGTCAGCAGCTTCATTCCAGAAATAGGGGAATTCTACAGGTTGTCCTTCCCTTCCCGCCCCCTCCCCCCTTATGTCCCCCTTCTGGTACCCCTATAGTTTGGAGATTATCCTCTTGCTGCTGCCTTCATTCTCTTCCACTCTGGTTTTTCTCTTTTCCCACCCCATTTTCTTGATGCACTGGACTTTAACTTCTAAACTGCACAGGCGGCTCTCCACATTCAGATTTCTGCATCTTTAGTTGCTTCTATTCCATCTGTATGGATTTAGATCTTTCTTAAATACTTAAATCAATTCTTTGAGCTGATCGATTTCTCTTCCGGTGACTGCAGCATTGTCACAGCCACTGCCGGAATGCGTGTGGATTTGGGGACCCCTGAGTCCAGGTCCAAGAGCTTTGCGGAAGGTGAGGACTTCTGCCCCCATCTGCCAATATAGTGGAATCCAGAGTGAGGCTTTAAATTCCTAATGATCTGAGTACTGCCCTGATTTCACTATTTTACACGGACAGCTACTGCATGTGCTGCGGTCATCTGGAATTTCCCCCTTACTCTGTAAAGGAATACCAGTGGGACAAGCAGGTCCAGACTTCTTGGGGCTATCCTTGGACTGACCTAAGACCTTGGGGCCTCTGTCTTGTCCCTAGAGTGAGCATAGCAGTCCCTACTGCTCCATGAGGTAAAGGACGTCAGGTGTGGAGGGAGTGCGGCTGCCGGGCCTGTGCCATACCCACACACTGGGGCTGATGGGCTTTTGTTCTTGTTAATGCTTTGTATATCGTGGACATTAATGCCTTGTCAGCCAGGTGGTGAGTGAATATTTTCTCCACACAGTAGGACATGCTTTTATTTCTTCAGCAGAGCAGAAACTTTTCTATTTATTTTTGCCTGTTTTCTTAGGCAATGGCACTGAGTCAGTGAAGGTGCCTCTGAGAATCATGAAGAACTCTGTGATTCTTGTGTTCTATTGATCTGGGTATAATATCCAAGTATTTAATTCATTCTTAACTACCTTTGTGTAAGGTGTGAAATAAAGATCCAAATGTATTTATTTACTTATCTCTTCATATGGCTACCTGGTTTTCCCCAGCATCATTTCTTGAAGAGGCTTACCTTCAGCAACTGCACTGAGCTCCCCTATCAAAGATCAGCAGCCCAGAGAAGTGAGGGTTTATCTTCACGGGATCCCTCAATTCCATTTCACTGGTCTGAGTCTGCCTTATTCCAGCAGTACACCCTTAATTACTAGAACTTTATGGTATAACTTAAAGTCAGGAAGAGAAAAGCCTTCCACCTTCTTTAATTCAACTGTGACCTCCAAAATCAAGTACCAGGGCATAACTTGTAAAAGAGATGCAACACCAGAGATTGGCGTACATCCAAAAGAACAAAAAGCACCACTGCTGGTATGGATGCAGGGAGAGAGGGACTCTCCATCATCGTTGGTGGAAATGCTGACTGGTTCAGACTTTTGGGAAAACAATACGGACATTTCTCAAAATACTCTAAATTGGGCTCCCATTTGACCCAGCAATACCACTTCTGGGAATATACCCCGGAACCCCCCGCGCAAAAAAAAAAAAAATACAGCAGGAACACCATCTGCACTCCCATGTACATTGCAGCACTATCCACAATAGCCAGAATCTGAAAATAGCCTGAGTGCCTGAGAACAGATAACTGGACAAAGAAAATATGGCACATATACACAATGGAATACTATGCAATCATTAGGAAAAATGAAGTTACGAAATTTGCTTATAAATGGATGGACATAGAGAGTATCATGCTGAGTGAAATGAGTCAGAAGGAGAGGGACAGACATAGAATGGCTGCACTCATTTGTGGGCTATAAAAAAATAAAAACAGTATGAGACTAATATTCAAGGCCAAGAAAAACAGGGACCAGAAGGACTGGTCAATTGTTAGAAGCTTGCCACAAGTGTGTGTGTTTGGGGTGGGGGAGGGGGGGTGGGCGTGAAGGGAAGTTAGGATAGAGAAAGGATCAGTATGACAGTATGGCAATAGTTAGAAATAATCACTTTGGACAAGAACTGAGTGTTGAAAGTAGGTAAAGGGATATCCATAACTTTCAGTACCTGCACTGCAAACCATAATGCCCAAAATGGGGGAAGGGGAAAGGGAAGGGGAAGGAGGACAAAAGGGAGGGAGAAGAGGTGGGGGGGAGGGGGGAGAGAGCAAGAGAGAAAGCGAGCATGAGAGTGAGCCACAGAGGTGGGGGCATGGTAACTGGGACATTGGTGTTGGGAAATATACACTGGTGAAGGGATGGTGTTGGAACATTGTATGACTGAACAACTTTGTAACTGTTATCACATGGTAATTTAATTAAAACATAGATGAAAGATATACAAAGAAAACAACAAATTAAGTTTAAACAGAAGAAAAAAAATGAAAAATATTCCTTGTCCACCAATTGGAAGGACAGATTTTGTTAAAATGGCTGTCCTACTGGAGCCAGAGAAAGAGAGTATAGTAGGAAGGGTGCTCGTCTTGCATGTGGCTGACCCTGATTATCCCGGATTTGATCCTGGCATCCCATATGATCCCCCACTGCGAACAGTAATTTCTGAGTGGAGAACCAAGAGAAACCCCTGAGCACCAGGGCTTATAACACCAGGGCGTAAGCTCTGCACTCAGGGATCAGTCTTGGGGTCATGGGAGATCATATGCAGTGATGGGGTGTGAACCCAGGTTTGCACCACTCAAGGCAAGCACCTTACCTGCTGTATCATCTCTCTGGTGCTCAACTCAGTCATTTTTAAGGGGACTTCTTTTTTAGGGGTATAGGCTAAATACTGCTAAAATCTACATGCTGTAATAACCCCCCCCCCCCACACACACAAAGCCAAAGAAACACAGAAGGAAAAAAATGAGTTAAAATTCAGCAACCTTATCTTTTTAACAATGTGATTTGTTTATGCTATCCTGAAACTTTCTCTCCAGTGAAGATACGTTCCACTACACTTGGCTGAAGAACTTTGCTTTCCAGTCTTCTTCAGGCATCTGGCCAGCTCTGGTTTAGTTCTGCAATGAACAGCTTTTTCCAAGCTGCAGTTGGCCTCCCTGAAGCAGCTCAGTCTATCTCCCATCATGCCAGGTGCTGTGTTTGTGTGGCCCTGGTACAGTCGAGGACTTAGTCACAGGGGTCTGGCTACTGCTGTGGGAGTTAAGAGAGGTCTGGGCAGGGCCGGAGTTTCCAGCAATTATCAGGGGCCATGGGCAGCAGCTGTTCCAGGGTGGGTTGAAGAGAAGTCTGGTGCCCCAGTCAGTATAGGGCCCTATAGCAACTGAGGCCCTGTCTGACTGTTGGCTGGCCCGGGAGCAGAGTGGACCAGTGGCCCTCCTGGTAACTGGTCTGCGGGTCTGCTTGTGTGTGTGTGTGTATGTGTGTGTGTGTGTGTGTGTGTGTGCTGCCAGGGACCAAACTCTGAGCCTTACACCTGCAAGGCACACTGTACTTGCGTCACCCTGGGAGGTCCCGAGAGATGCTGTGCTTATCTGCCAAGAGCAAGAGCCACAATACTGGTTGCAAGGGAGGTCAGCTAGGGGCACTATGCCCTAGCGGTCTCTGAGAAGAAAGGAATTCAGTGAGGCATTGCCTGCCACTGTCATCAGCTCTGAAGAGGATGGGCTCTGAGCTGCTTGGGTGCTCATCTCAGAGCTTTAAGGCAGGGGCAGTGCCAGCTGCGGAGGCACGACCCTCCCTGGGGTCCCGGACAGCTGTCTTGAAGTCTGCCTAAATTCAAGGGAACTCTCTGCACCAGCTCCTGTCCCTTGCTGCTCCCTGGGTTTCATATGCAATTTGCTAGAGGCAGTACACACAAGTCCAGCCCACCTGGTCACCTTGTTCCCCATTTTCACTATTCTCTCCTGACATCAGATATTTGCACCCATTCATTTCATCTTTCCACGTCTCTGGATACTTTTTCTTCCTACTTTCCATGTGTGAGGGGGTACTTTTTATTCAAGGGAAAAATTATTCAAATTACTTATGGTTATAATATCCAAGACATAAATGGTATTTAAATGGAAAGGGCACAATTTCTTCTGAAAGGGCCCTTACCTTCTGGGTATGGGGTGGCAAAAGGCCTGGGGTTGTTTTGGCTATACCCTGTATTGCTCAGATCTTCTTCTGGTTCTGTGCTAAGCAGTGACCCCTGGTGGTGCTCACCAGGGCCAGCAGCATGCCAGGCCAGAACCTGAATTCACTGAGTCCTTACATTAAAGCAAACATCTGTCCTGAGTGTCAGATTACAAGTGAAGCTCTCACACAGGCAGGAAGCCCTGTACCTCCTCAGATGGCTGGTCCTCAGCTCTTCCTCGCCTCACCAGGGAAATCGAATAAGCTAAATGCAGAAACTGCACTAATACAGGTTACGTTGCTTAAGCAGCCATGGCAAGTGGTTTTTATTTTCAAAGTGAGGAGAGACAAAGGTCTATATATTATTTAAGATGATTCCCTCCTTCCTTCCTTCCCCTCACTCCTGCTTGTACCTTTAGTTCCGGTGCTTGCCAGGGAGTGCACAACAGGTCATGGCATCTGCAAGTCTGCGTCCTGCACACCTGGTGCCAGGACAACGTGAGCCTGTCCATTGTGTTCTAGATATCAGTGAGCAGAATGGCCGGGACCTTGCTCAGCGCATGCAACAGTGTCAGGCACTGAAGCGACGGCCTCATGCTTAGAGGCAGGAGCTTTTCCCACAGACACATTTCCCCAGACTTACATACAGACTGCAACTGCAGGAAGAGCTGCAGTGTCAGCAGGTCTGGGTGCTCCACCCGCAGCAGCTCTACACTAGCAGTGCTCTCTCAGAGGACAAGTACCTGTGCTCGCTTCTCCATGTCTTGGCAAGTTCCGAGCTGCTTCTCCATGGCGACTCGGATCTGTCTTGCTTCATATTCTAACTGCCGCCTGGTCATATCTGTTTGCAAGGAGAACTAAGACCACAAAAGAGTGTCAGTACCTGGGGCAACGTGTTCATCAGTAAAGGCTAATGCGCATACAAGTACCAACACAGGAACAAAGTGATGAGCAATTACACAAACATAAAAATCATTATTGTGTAGGAGAAAATGATTTTTTACTTGAAGACACCCCAAAACCTGATTGTGCAGTGCTTGTCTGAATCTGGGGCACTCGTGCAGGTGAAGGGCTGATCCATAGTCAATAAAACAAGTAGCTCTAAGTCAATCATACTATCCCAACTGAAGCAGACAGTTGGTCAGTCAGGGCGAACCTATCTTCAGCTCCTTTAATTTTTCTCAACTGAAGAGGCAATACTTTTAATTATTAAGGCCAGAATACAGACAAAAGAAAAATCAAAAACAGGACCACCATTCTTAACATCAGAACTCAAAGTAAGGATTTCTACATTCTTATAGACTTAACAGAAAATTCCTCCATTTGTAAATTTTTTTAAAATTGACATGACAAAAAATACTTTATTTTATAATAGATAATTATAAATCATGAGGACAAAGTCAAACATTTTTGGTAGAAATTTAAGAGAAGCGAAGTTAAGACAGTGTTGACTTACTGAAACCAATTCCTTTAACTATTTACTGATTTACCCGGGCCCCACACGCACTGCTCAGGAGGCCCAGAGTCCTGCTTGGCAGGTCTCAGCCTCCAAGCTGGGTGGTGAGGGGCCCCTGGAGGTGGTGCCACAGGTCACTCAGGCCACTCCAGCAATGTGTGGTGGTGCTGGGGATTGGGGGGCACAGCACCTTCAGGTCATACCCAGCAGTGCCTGGGAACTTTCAGGGACGGACCTGGTGATCCTTGGGTGGGGCTGGGGACTGGACTGGGATGGCTGCATGCAAGGCAAGCACCTTAATTCCTGAACCATCTCCCCAGTGCCTTATTAAAGAACATAATAATCCTCTAATTAAAATTCTAACTTCTTGGCAACTGCTATGTGTGCAGAGGGATAAAAAGGACAAGTGAGTGAAACACATGTCCAAAGAGGTGATATTTTAATTGCAAAAAAGATCTGCCATAAGGGCTCGAGAGACAATTTGTGTGTATGTGGGAAGGGGGGAGTGTGTATGTGTGGGGGGGACCTGGTCTGCAGGAGGCCAACCAAGGGTCCATCATGGGCACTAGGCTCCCTGAGCACCAGCAGGGGTCAATGCTCCACACAGAGCCAGGGACAGCACCTGAGTGTTGCAGGCGTGACTCAAAGACACAAACCAAAGCCCAAAACAAATCAAAAAAGGCAAAAACAAAACCATCTGATATAATTCCAACAGTGCATTTAAAAAAGATGGTGATAAACATTCTTACAATGTTTGATAATTCAATACACAGAATAAAATACAGCTACCTAGTTAAAACCTGAGTTCTTTAGGGTCAAAACTCAATATGCTAACTGGGACCTGAGTAAAAGTTTCATCATCTTTATGAAAAGTTAACTTATATTCAGGCTGAAAGGTGGATGAACACATTGGAGTTTACAAATAAGTATAGATGCAGCCACACTACATTTTTTAATGGAATACCTAAGTACATTTAAAAATCAAGCAACTAAAGCCTAATACAAATTGGATTGCCAAGTTACTTACATTTTCAGTTAAAGGAAGACTGTCTATTCTTTTTGTGAGATTCTGAAGTTGAGCATAATACCAATCTTTTTCCTTTTCTTCTTTGTCAAGGTCAGCAAGAAGCAATGATCTGTATTTAAAAAAAAAAAGGCAAGCTTACAGAATGCTGATATATATTACATAATAGCAATTTTCTTCAGCTATTGTAAAGCTCCCTACTTAAACTTTAATAGTGAATAAAAATACCCATTTTGGATGTTTAAAGATGTGAAAGAATAAGAGTCACTATAACAATAAATTTATTATTGTTAAGTTTAAAAATTTTATAATTGATTATTGTTGGGCTGGATCAATAGCACAGCGAGTAGGGTGTTTGCCTTGCAAGCATCCAACATGGCTGACCCGAGTTCAATTCCTGCGGCCCTCTCGGAGAGCCCGGCAAACTACCGAGAATATCTTGCCTATATGGTAAAGCCTGGCAAGCTACCAGTGAGGTATTCAATATGTCAAACACAGTAACAATTGTCACAATGGAGACTTTACTGGGCCCACTTGAGCAAGTTGATGAACAACGGGAGGACAGTGACAATGATTATTGTTAAGTTTAAAAAATTTTAGTTAAATAAAATAGAATTCGTAAAAGGTAAAGGTAAAGGCCCTCCCGTTGATCGTCGATTTGCTCGAGCGGGCCCAGTAACGTCTCCATTGGAGACTTTGTTGTTACTGTGTCTGGCATATCGAATACTCTCGGTAGCTTGCCGGGCTCTCCGAGAGGGGTGGAGGAATCGAACTCGGGTCGGCCATGTTGGCTGCTTGTAAGGCGAACGCCCTACCCTCTGTGCTATCGCTCCACTAGAATATATACATTCCAAACAGGGTCCTCTTTATATCATTTCCATATTCATATTAACTAACAGAATATGATCATAGTTTACAGAAAAACATATAGCTACAACAAAACCCAATATTAATATAAGAATGTTGGCTGCGTGCAAAGCAAATGCTCTACCGCTGTGCTATCGCTCCAGCCAAAGAAAAAAATAAGTGAGGTTTTTAGTAGTAACAGCAAAAAAAAAAAAAAAAAAACCATAATAAGAGTAAGTAAGTTCTCTTATTCTAAGAGAAACTTTACTTAACTTGAAATTTGGAAATGAATTTGCTACATAACTCCTAAACAACCCAATCAATGATGTCTTCAATGCAATCTACCTTAAGATATTCTGATTATAATATGCAAAACACTAATGAGTGTTATTTGGATAAAAAATTGTAGATACGAAAATGTATATGATCTCAACCACCTCATTAAAAGTGAGAGACTGATTCATATCACAAAGAATGAAAACAACCAGTGCTGGCATGATGTTGGGAAAAAGGAGACCTCACTCATTGCTGCTGGGAATGTCAACTTATTCAGTCTTTTTGGAAAACAAAGTAGACACTTCTCAAAAAACTAGAAACTCAGCTTCCATATGACCCACCAACCCCACTTCTTGGTATCAACCTCAAAGACCCAAAAATTCTACTGAGAAAGAGACATCTTCACCCCCATGTTCTCTGCAGCACGATTTACAACAGCCAAAATTTGTCGAAAAACAGATGACTGAACAAAGGACTATGACATCCATGATGAAATACTACCTTGGCCATAAGAAAAGATGAAGTCACACAATTTTCTGCCAATATAGATGGATATGGAGAGTACTGTGATGAGTTAAGTTAGCCAAGAGGAGGGGAGAGATAGAGGATGATCTCACTCATGTGAGGGACATAAAAACACACAGCAGGGAAGCAACACATGACCAAAGAAAGCAGAACTGCGAACTGTTCTATAAAACTGAGATTACACCATGGAGAATGGGGTTGGGAGAGGACAGTGGTGGGAAAAGGGTATCCATGAAACCCTACCAGCAACTAGTAAGTTGTGGTACTTAGGATTGAAAAGGGAAAAAAAGTTATGATCTCTCTCCTTTCAGGATCCCAAGGAACCATCAATATCATTTTCTGAATATATTTCCAAAGATAATCTATAAAAATGCAAGGATATGTGTACATGCTTATATAACTACTTAAAAACATAACAGTAGCATAGATGCATGCTTCTGTAATCTTTTCACTGAAAAATTGGAAATAATTCTTCTTTTTTTGTTCTTGGGTCACACCCGGCGATGCACAGGGGCTCCTGGCTCTGCACTCAGGAATTACTCCTGGCGGTGCTTGGGGGACCATATGGGATGCTGGGAATTGAACCTGGGTTGGCCGTGCGCAAGGCAAATGCCCTACGCACTGTGTTATCGCTCCAGCACCCCCAAAACTGGAAATAATTCTATCATCAGAACATGAGGTAGTCCTAGGCATTCTCCACTAGATATACAGAACTTCATAGTATTCACAAATCCTACCCCCCTAAAAAAAGCACAGAATAACTAGTCTGTGTTAGAAAACATTTAGTCTTTCTAGTCTTTTGCCATGATAAACAATGATCACTGTTCTGTAATTTTATATTTGCTTTACTCAACAATCATAAGTCAAGCATCCTTCGCATTATTTCACACAGATGCAAGCAAGGTGAATTCCTTGGATGTGCTAAAATCTCTGTCTGGGCTGTCAGGTGGTGCTATTGGGCCCTTGGTGCCAAAGATAGCCAGGGTTGCCATTGTGGTGTGTGGTGTTACTCAGGGGACTATGCTGTGGTGGGACTCAAACCCAGGTCAGCCGCATTCAAGGTGTGTGCCCTCACTCCTGCACTACTTCTTTGGCCCCAAACTGCCTTAGTTTACACCCTTCCCGCTTTCATCAGCCTGAACGTCTGATCAACTCTGGGCAGGGAAGGGGCCAGGCCACATCCAGTGGTGCCCCGGGATTACTTCTGGTAGTGCTCGGTAGACCTAATGTGGTGCGGAGAGTAAGTGGGGTCTTTGCTGGCAAGGTCAGTGCCTTTGCCCCTGGATGCTCTCCAGCCTCTTCCTCAGCTTCTGCTGCCTTGCGTGCCTTACATGTGTGGGCCCGCACCTGCCTCTCAGTGCCACACAGTCCCTGTAGCTGACTCTGATCTCTCCTAAGGACAAACAAGGCTCGTCTCTTTTCCACGACTCTCTCTGATGAACAGAACTCCACAGTAAGAAAAATAGCTTCCTTGTTAGTCATGTGGTTGAAAATATATTTTCTAAGTATATCATTGTCAGAGTATTGTCAGTATACCAGATTTTTAAAAAATTTTATTTTTATAAAGTTGTTCACAATGATTTATTACATTCACTATTCCAACACCAATTCCATCACCATTATTTCTAATTTTCCCAACCACCAACCAAGCCTGCCCCAACAGCAAGCCCTGAATAATTTATTTTGTATAGCTTCTTGTGAATAATCTGCTAAAAATAATCCCAAAAAAGTTTCCTTAGAAGAAAGTGTATGAAGATGGTTGCATCTCACCCTGAAGCCATTAAGCCCTTGTGTAAAGGATTACTACCATGCTGCTACAGGCTGACCTTGTGTGCTGTTAGGTATGTATTTCTGATCAAGGTCAATCGCCTTCTACTTTACACACCATCCAATGTGGTATGATGCTCCCAGTACATCAGTGGTGTAGGGTGAGACGGCACATGGCCATGAATGCAGCCACATACTCTAGAAACTCTAAAATTTTAAATAGGGTGCACCAGATGTTTTTGATAAAGAAATTAAAGCCAGTACTTTGTTGCTGAGTCTCTCTCACAATGATTCACTTTTTTAAAAAAAGAAAGAAAAAAGAATCTTCAAATGAAAAAAAAAAAAGAATTTTACAGAACCGGCAGAGAAACACAAGTATGCGGGACCCATGGCTGAGATCTCCAAGCCTGCTGGGATCGGGACTGGGCCTCCTCCACCTAGACCCCCCAGTTTTTCCAGTAGCTTGGCAGTCATACCCACAAACTGGCCCTGGTGCCATGTAATCTTATCAACGGCCAAGATCAGAGACTATAAAACAAAGCTCCCGGAAGAGAGTGATACAGTATTTCCTGGAGCACGTGTCCCTCTCGGAGAGACCTGGCAAGCTACTCGTGTCATACTTGATACACCAAAAACAGTAACAATTACGGTTCTCATTCCCCTGACCCTGAAAGAGCCCCCTATATGCCATCGAGCTACACTAGCACACGACAGGGATGAATGGAGACATTACTGGCACCCGCTCGAGCAAATGATGAACAATGGGACAACAGCGATACAGTGATAAGTGTATTCACCAACCTTAAAATTCTCACCAATTTTAGTTTGAAACTGACAAAATGGGTCTAAGTCTAAAGTAAGAATTCAATCATTTATTGATCAGATTATCTAATAAAATATTTTCTATTACACATAGTATATTTTTCAAGAAGATAAATTTTGCTAAAATATTCTTTATATATGACAGTACTTTGTGACAAAAACAAAAGCTTTATAGGCAGCTTTAAAAATATTTTTTCTGGACTTATTTCTTTTTCATCAAAAAATAAATCTAACAATGACAGTTTAATAAAAAATTCTGCTATTTTTAATTTATTTTCAATTATAAAATAATAAACTCGGAATATCCCCTGGGAAAAAAGAAGAAGAAATTAAAATTTTCTTGTTGTCAGGCTTGTGGGTACTGTCTGTTATGGCTCCCGGAGCTGGCTCTCACACAGCCACAGTTGCCACTCTGCTAGTACTATGAATTCTGTTCTACTGGCTTTAGAAGATTCCATGTTTTAACTTTTGGGGGAGAGGGTAGTGACAGGGACTGAACTTGGGACTCATTTTTCTTTTGTGTTTTTTGTTGTTGCTGTTGTTTTCTTGTGCCCCACCCAGCCATGCTTGGGGCTTACTCCTGGTCTGCGCTAATGTGTGAAGGCAGAATGACTAGACTGTTTAAGTGATGGGGCAGACTGGGACAAGGATTGCTAGTTTCACTGAGCAGGGGGACTTGGGAAGCAGCATTTAGGGTTCAGTGCACTGCAGGCCTATTCCACACCTCTCAACAGTCCCCTGCATATGATGGAGTACTGCATCTAAAGAGCCCTAATGATGACACCAAAAAAACTGACCAGACCCATCGTACAGGCAGCAGGGCATTTGCCTTGCATGTGGCCGACCCAAGTTTCCAAGTTCTCTCCCAGCATCCCATTTGGTCTCCTGGATACCTCCAGGAATAATCCCAGCATCCTATTTGGTCTCCTGGACACCTCCAGGAATAATCCCTGAGCATCGCCAGGTATGACCCAAAAGAGAGAACAAACAAAAAACTGGGCAGGGGGCTGGAGCTACAACATAATGGGTAGGACGTTTGCCTTGCATGGGGCCAACCCGGATTTGATTCCCAGCATCCCATATGGTCCCCTGAATACCGCCAGGAGTAATTCCTGAGAACAGAACCAGGAGTAACCCCTGTGCACCGCGGGGTATGACCCAAAAAGAAAAACAAACAAACAAACAAACAAACAAAAAAACTGTATCACTGTATCACTGTCATCCTGTTCATCGATTGCCTCAAGCAGGTACCAGTAACGTCTCCTTCATCCTAGCCCTGAGATTTTAGAAAGTGCCACATTCGAGGCTCTTTTGGGGTCAGGAGAATGAGACCCATCATTGTTACTGGTTTTTGGCATATGGAATACGCCACGGGGAGTGTGCCAGACTCTGCCATGTGGGCAGGATACTTTTGGTAGGCTGCCAGGTTACAACAAAAAAAACCTGGGCAGACAGGGCAGCAAACAATGCAGCCGCTTGACTGGCATCAATACCCAGTACCACGCGGCCCCCCTAGGTACTGCCAGGGTGGCCGGGGGTCCCTGGAGCAGCAGCGCATCCCCAGGTCTTTCCTACATGGAGCTGCTAGTCCCCAGGGACTCCTGAGCACCAGCCAGGAGCCGCCCCCAAAGGGTCAGAGAACCCGAGCAGATGCTTTTTCAGAAATAGAGAAGGTCCTCCACACCATTAGCTGTCACAGAAGTGAAGCCAAAGCGGTCTGTCAGGATGCTGGCAGTGCGGTAGCAAAGGGGTCCTGATGCCCTGTCTGTGGGACTGTACACTGTGTGGGGTTCTTGGGAACCAAGAGTGATTCCACCTATGGGTATCTGTCTGATCAGATTTAATGAATACAAGCTGAAGACTATTAGCGCAGAGGAAGAAAGGAAAGGCTGCGGGGAAACCCCCACAGTATGGGATGTGGTCCTATGAATAGAATTCCTGAGGTATTCTATTTGGAGGTCAGGTTAAAAGACTGTAGCATTATGTTTTCAGTTGTGGACTGACTACTTTCTAACTTTATCTCGGACAATATAGAGGAGTTAGAAAAAGGGGGGGGGTGTGCAGCGTTAATCTATCACATAAGCAAGTACTAAAAAATAAGGGAAAATCATGAGAATAAGAATGACATCAAATTTCTCCTCAGAGACACTGATAATGAAGAAAGAAAATGAGTTGAACCTGACTGGGTTTCAATCAAGTGCAAGAGCAGAAATAAAAGATTTGCTGCTGGCACAAGGCCTGCTGAATGCCCTGAGAAGCAGCCAGAACCCAAAGGCTGCAGGCACAGCAGAAACACATGCCGTGTGGTCCCTTCACCCCAGACACAGGGCAGCCAGGTTCAAGGAAACCTGACCTTGCACTGCCCCCAACAGCTGAATGCACACTTTTCATGGTTAGTGTTTCCTGTCGAGTCAGAAAGAGTCCTGGTTCAGTTTAAGAAATAAAGACTCATGTAAACTTAACAGATGAAAGGAAAATTTGGGACTCCTCCAATTCAGGTAATGAGGCGTGTATTTATAGATAGACACACCCAGAACAAAGAGAAAGTAATAAAGTATTTTGCCTCTCAGTGAATTATGTTGGATACATTTCATACCTTATTAACTCTAAGAAGAAAAGAATTTACATTTTAGCTGAAAGAAACCAAACTCATTCTATACATCAAGTTTTTAAAAACTGATAAAAAAAATGTTTTATTTGTGGCCCCTGTAAAAGGTCTTCCATAAGAAAACAGTCACCCTATAATGCATACAGTGTTACTAAATAGTTTTTAAAAAACCCTACAGATTAAGAATCAGTTATGTACTTGGATTAGATGTAAACACTGTAATCGTCTGTGTAATTCAGTGTACAAAGCATCAAAACTATTTCAATGGCAAAGTATAACTATAATTTCAAGAAAACACCATCTGTATATTTTCCTATTTCATATAAATACTGGTCCAGACTTGGCACTACATAAGCCCAGGGCCTGCTTGATGTGCTGTATCGCTGGTCCCCACAGGTCCCGATGGAAGATGGACCAAAACACAACATCTGACTTTGAGTTCATGAATGCAAACTCTGTCAGCTAGCACCCACTGGACATGCATCATAATTCACATCTTATATTACATGGTAACAGTACTTAAAAAGAACAAAAGCAAATAGTTTTACACTTTAATGAAGCAAAGTTACCTCTCCTTCTCCAGCTCCTCTAAGTAGCTGGTGTTCTCTCTGCTCCCGTTGACCACCACTCTCCTCGGGAAGGAGCCCGCAGGCAGGGGGCTGCACTCCCCTGAGCGGCTGGACACGGAGCCTTCCCGGCTTCCAAAGGAGGTGGCAGGCAGGGGGCCGCAGTCCCCTGAGCGGCTGGACACGGAGCCTTCCCGGCTTCCAAAGGAGCGGAGGGACATCTTGGACCGCAGTTTCACTCCAGGGAAATTGCTGCTATCTAAGTTAAGTTCTAAATAACACAAAAAAAATTTTTATGTGACAACTGTTTTAAGTGATTTAAATACTGCCAGAGTAAACACAAATTTCAAGCCTGCAGGATCCGTGATGTATGAAATTATGACAGCTTTGAGCAACAAACTTATGTAAGGAACAGAGGAAATTCTTAATACATATGCGGATGTGCAAAAAGAGTCACTAACTACTGTTTCTTAAGTAAATTTATAATTTATATCAAAGGGTTCAGAACCCCATAGAGATAAATTCCCAAGACAGGAAAACAAACTCACTGAATAAATGGTTACTCAGCAACAGAAAGGTTGAACTTTCCCTCCCAAGTCAGCCTGGGTCAGGGGAAAGGAGCCTGTTGAGGAAAAGACAGGAGAGCTCCCTCCTTGGACTGCAATGAGATAACGCCATATCTGGGAACCTAAAGACAACTCCTCTTCTTAGCTTTAAATATAATTAAACTCTAGTGCCATTTTAATGCCTGAACTTTCAAGCCATAAAATGAGAAACACAGTCTTAAAAATTCTACTAAACATGGCCCACAATCAGCTGATCATGTGGGAAGAACCAGTGTTTCCTTTGCCCCAGTGCTAGAGTGAGGCTCAGGCCCCACACAGAGGAAGTGTCCCTTCACTGAGCGGCCTGAGCCACCTCCGTAGGCAGAACAGGCCTATCAGTGACTGGGAAATGGCAATTTGAGAAAGAGCTTTAAAAAGAGTTGGGAATTTTCAAAGAAGGGATCTAAAATAATTTACTCAAAGTTAATTAATATTTAACTTAAGACATGGCAAGCAAATGGAAACCGGCACCAACACCTAAACTAAAAGAGGCTGTACTTGGATACTCATCCCCAAAGCTGAAAAATGTAGCTTAAATTGATTTTAAAATGTTTTTCAAAAATCTACCTTTGAGACGTTCTAATAAATCAATCTGTCCAGCAGAAGCCATGGCTTCATCTTCAATACTTCCTTGTAGTTGTTTAAGTACTTCCTGTAAAAAAGAACACTGTATTAACATGACAAAATTATAATTTCACCAAGACAGGGCATTAAGTTCCTTGACATTTAGGTATGTTGGGGGAAAGTTACTTCAAATCAGTATGAATATACACAACAGACTGTAAAACACTCTGCATAAAATATCTATTCTTTTTTTTCTTAGGCATGAAATTATTAATTTATTTATGGACTATTCAACAGAGTAAAACCCAACTCTCATCAAATTGAAACAGTTTAATACAATTACTGCCAATGTCTAGCAATGTTTAGGTAAGAACAAAAGATATTCTAAAATTTATATGAGGGGCTGGAGTGATAGCACAGCGGGTAGGGCATTTGCCTTGCACGTGGCCAACCCGGGTTCGATTCCCAGCATCTCATATGGTCCCCTGAGCACTGCCAGGAGTGATTCCTGAGTGCAAAGCCAGGAGTAACCCCTGAGCATCGCCAGGTGTGACCCGAAAAGCAAATAAATAAATAAATAAATAAATAAAAATTATATGAAAAGTGAATGGAAGGGTCAAAAACAATTCTGAAAATTAAGGTAGTGGAAGGATTCACTCTGATTCCAATATAGAGTCACATTAATAAGGACTATGATTTTATGGTAAGTGAGTTACTAAGCCACAAAGACAAAAATATCAGATGTTTTCATTAGTATGTGGTATAAAGAATAGTATATCGAGGGTATTAAAATGGTGGACAAAACAGCAACTCTAGATTACAGAAACAAAAATGCTAGTGAAAGAGAGAAATGGAGTGGGGACATTCTTGAAATAATACAGGGGCAATGCTCTTGAAATAACATAGGGGCAATGTTCAGAGGGCTCGGGCTCATTTGTAGTACAGAGGCAAGATATCTGTATACATCTAAACCACTCCAACTTCCTGATGGATCTATCACATCTACCAGAAGGGCAATGGAGAAGATTATCCATGACTTCTACTCGGATCTCTTTGATAGACAAGTCCACCTGCCAACATACCAAATTCTGAAGGATGGATATGTCGTTCCCAATGTTCTCCCTTCTGATATCCCACAAGTCATTTTGTTGGTAAAGAAGCGAACGCCACCCGGCCCAAACAAGGTCAGACATGAACACCTGAAGAACCTCCCATCAGTACTCATCACTGAGTACTGGCTCAGCTCTTCACACGCTACCTGTCTGAATGCAAGGTTCCGTCCCAATGGAAAACCAGCAGGACTGTACTACTGTACAAGAAGGGAGACATCCACAACATTGGCAATGATAGCCCGATCTGCCTGTTGTCTGTCGTCTACAAACTGTTCACTTGAGTAATCCTGAATAGGATTGGCAGAACACTAGATGAAAGATAACCATGCGAGCAAGCTGGGTTCTGCAAAGAATTCAGCACGATCGACCATATCCACACGATAACCAAGCTCACTGAGATTGCTCAGGAGTTCAAGATGCAGCTCTAACGTTCATTGATTTAAAGAAGGCCTTTGATTCTGTTGAGACTGAAGCAGTCATCGAAGCCCTAGCCAAACAGGGCATTCAAACTTCATACATCAGGATCCTCCATGAGCTGCATTACGGAGTCACCACCAGGATCTTGCCATTCTACAAGGAAGTGATCATCCATGTCAAAAGAGGGGTTTGGCAGGGTGATACCATTTCACCAAAACTCTTCAGTGCCACCCTCGAGAACATCAAGAGACGACTGGAATGGGAAGGAATGGGAGTGAAGATAGATGGTCGGCAACTACACCACTTCCGCTTTGCTGATGACATTGTTCTAATAACACCAAACATCAGCCAAGTGGCACAAATGCTGGCCAGCTTGGACTGTGAGTGTGGAAAGGTCGAACTACAGCTGAATCTCACGAAGACAATGTTTATGAGAAATGGTCTTGTTCCTGACGTTCCATTCGCTCTCAATGGAATGAACATCTCCGAATGTAACAGTTATGTGTACTTAGGTCGAGAAGTCAACATGACGAATGACTTGGCACCTGTGTTGCGCAGGAAGAATGAGCGGCTTGGAATGCCTTTAAGCGCTTTGAAGAAATAGCTAAGAGGACGAAGAACCTCTGGCTCTGGGCACATCTCTTCGATTCCACTGTTCTTCCTGCATTAACATACGCCTCAGAGACCTGGGCCCTACAAAAACAGGATAACGCTATTTGGGTCTCCCAAAGAGGAACTGAAAGAGCTATGCTTGGAGTATCATGCTTCACTCAAATGAGAGAAAGAATACGGAGTTCCGACCTCCGTCAAGAATCAGGGATGCTGTCTCCTTTGCCAAGGTGTCGAAAATCAGATGGGCTGGACACGGTAATGAGATTTGGAGACGACTGCTGGACTAGAACCATTATTGGTTAGATTCCACAGGATGTCAAAAGACCACAGGGCTGCCCACCTACGAGATGGTCAGACTTCTTTGTCAAGACCCTGAACAATCGGTTTGAGGCTCTTCATGTTTCTAGAACAAGCAGATGCCACTGGGCTACACTAGCACGTGACAGGGATGAATGGAGACATTACTTGTGCCCACTCGAGCAAATGGATGAGTAACGGGATGTCAAGTGATCAAGTGATCTAAACCACTAGACCCAACACTATGATAAGTCTGAGACCCAAAGTACAATAATTAAACTTAAACTATCTGTCTAGGAGACAGGTTGTGAAGTGGGGAGGAACATGAAGCATGGGCAGAGGGATAAAATAACTGGTAGCGGGGTTACAATTGGGAACAATGTACGTAAAATACTTTTTCTTTTTGGGTTACACCTGGCGATACACAGGGGTTACTCATGGCTCTGCACTCAGGAATTACTCCTTGCGGTGCTCAGGATACCATATGGGATGTTGGGAATCGAACCTGGGTTGGCCGTGCACAAGGCAAATGCCCTACCCACTGTGCTATTGCTCCAGCCCCATAAAATACCTATTCTTAACGATGAATAACATCCCATCAAATATCTAATATCCAACAATACTAATAGGAATTCGGGGACCCAACAACAGACAAAGTGAGAGTTTGATATCTGGGTAGTCTCTATGCAAGATATTTTATCGACAGTTAATTTATGTTGTCTCCAACTTTCAAAATATACGGTGGATTCTCATTATTTCAATAATCAATTATGATTCACAGACAGCGCAAGCTAGAAAAGCTGTTTTTCAGAATTCATGCCTAATAAACTTGAACTTATATGACCATAAGAAATAGCGAACTGATGCACTGTACTATGCTTCTTTGTTTGTACCCTAATAAAGACTCCAAGGTGGACATCCCACAAAGCTGCATTCCACCAGCGCTGCCCTATATTCAGAGCCTCCCAGGTCAGGGTGCTTACTGCCGACTCATGCTTCTCTGGATAAGTTTTTCTCATAGAAAAATAGAAACTCTATTTTGATCAGGTTTTCAAAATGTTCCTTAATAATAACCGATTTGATATTCACATTTTCCTTATGGGAGGTAATCAATTCTAGTTCCCAGCACAGTTCATTGGTCAATTTGGTTTCCCAGTACAAGTCCATGTATTTGAATATTTACAATTTTATGGGGCAGTTTCCTGATATAAAAAATGATCCATAAAGAAATGCAAAGGAGATCCCTCAAAAAGTAAGTTACTGCAGCAAAAACTTCAACTGGTTACAACTCTGATAGTGATGTTATAAACATTTTTTTCTTTTTGGGTCACACCCAGTGATTCACAGGGGTTAGTCCTGGCTCATGCACTCTGGAATTACTTCAAGCTGTACTCGGGGGACCATATGAGATGCTGCGAATCGAACCCGGGTTGGCCGCGTGCAAGACAAATGCCCTACTGCTGTGCTATGGCTCTAGCCCCAAATCATTCTTCTTTTTCATAAATTGTGGAATTGGAGAGTAGTACAGGTGCTTATCTTAAAAAAGAAGAAATAACTTCTATTCTTAACAAGAATTTGCCTGTGTTATTTTTAGGTTTAAGTTTCAAATAATAGAGCATGTTGGGGCTGAAAGATTCCTTTAAGTAAATGTTGTTGGAATTCTGTAACAACCATGAGAGTCACATTCAGTTTTACGCTCACATTTGGGAGGACAGGAAATTTGCAATGAGACACCTCCCTTGAGGGAAGACTGAGTTTCTCCAGAACTCCATGCTCCATGAACGTCAGGACACCATCTCTTCCATGATGTCTGAGTATGTTGTGGGGCCACAGCCAATAGACCACCAGAGCCAAGTTAAGAGTTTGGTGGAGTCTTTATTGACACCAGCTGGCGGGTTGTCCTGCTAGGTGAGAGCAGCAGCCTCATCCTGGTGCTCTGAGCACTTTCATAAGCACCTGCAAAATTTGTTTAGCCCACTGGGTCCACATCCCGGTGCCCAGTAAAATCACACAAATGCAGCAAAGAAAGTATTGTTACAGGAGAGAAAAAGTGGTTACAGCAAGAGTTCATGAAGCAGACCATCACTCTCCGGGAACCACATCCCTAGGGCCCAGCCCACTGTTCCCGTTTGCAATCTGTGACAGGCTTTCTGGCCCTTGGAGAAGTTTGGTGCTTATGGAGTGACAGTTACATCAGCTAAAACATAAACTTCTAAAAAACTAAACTTGTTCCTCCCTTTCAGCGTCCCCTTACAAGTACCTCTGCTAGGTTCCTCCTCATTTCCAAGGATCCCCATTTTTCTTCCATCCATCATTTCTGCTTATACTGCTTCAATGATCCTCTCATCCTATCCTATTCCCTACACTTTCCACTCTCACAATCCAACTACCTTGTAACAATATTACCCTTAATTCTCACTGGCAAACTTCAGATTCATTCCCCTAATTTGACTGTTGGATGTCGTGCATCAGAGTATGTGCTACATTACAGAATTGTCCAGAACAATAATTTGGTTCCACCGAAACCGTTCTTTGCTTTACAATCTCAGGTGAACGTCAACAGTTGGCTTTTTCCTCTGCAGGCTTGAATCACTTGAGATCCTGGGTATCAATGCAATCAAAACTACTAAAATAGATTTCTAAACGGTTT